TCTGTTGCAAACGGGTAAAGGTTCCTAGCTAGGACCTCGGGGTACTGCACATCTGCCCTATTGGGTTTGGGCCCTTGGCCATTTTGTTGGGAGACCAGAGGTAGTAGGAACCCAAAAATGGGTATATACACAGAGCCCACCGAAACACCAGCGCTTAAGACCCGTACTGGCGTGAGGCTTCTCAGGCGTTCCCCGAACCCCCAACCCGGATTCCGCATTTGTTTCAGAAGGAACCCACTCAAAGGCCCACCCCTGCACTCAGGATACTTCACCGTGGAAGCAGATCGAGCCCGCATTGCTCCTGTCCTTAAGGCTGACACACGCTTCGGGTTGAGGGGCGAGCACCGGAGGGTGAAGGGGCAAAAGGGCCTCACTACGCTGTTCACAGCATCTGAGGAACTGGGACTCTCTTCACCTACAGTCTGATGGGTAAAGCCTACTCACTAAGGGGGACTCTTCACCTACAGCCTTATGGGTAAAACCTACTCACTAAGGGGCAGTTACTACTAACCTGCAGGTAGATATAGGGTCCCAGGAACACAGGTGCCTGAGATCTTCTCGTCAGGTTGCGGGGAGGGTGCGGTGACGGAAGCCGAGCAGCGTTGCGTAGAGTCCTCCGTGTCTTTCCCTACGGGCCCATGTACCCTCATAGTACATACTACTTGGAGGTTCAGGGTACTTATTAACCAAATAAAACTGATACCCCACTTAGAAGCCTCTTAAGTGCCCTAATATGGTTATAAATACACTTATAAGGGCAGTTACAATTTGGTTCATAAGTACCATGAACCTCCAAGTAGGCCCTCAAAGAGGTTGCCCAAGCACATAATATTTTTGTAATATAGGTACATGGACCCTAAACCCTAAACCCTAAACCCTAAACCCTAAACCCTGAACCCTGAACCCTGAACCCTGAACCCTGAACCCTGAACCCTGAACCCTAAACCCTAGACCCTAAACCAAAAAGGGGCAGAGCAGGAGATGCTGAGAAACAAGATCAACTCGTACCTGGAGAAGCTTTTGGGCGGCAGAATCCCTGACCCCCCCCTGAACTCCCAACCCCTCTAATTTCAAGCCAGGGTTTAGGGTTTAGGGTTTAGGGTTTCGGGTTTAGGGTTTAGGGTTTAGGGTTTAGGGTCAAGAGCCCTAAGCCTCCAACTTGAACCCCCAAACCCCTTGATCATCGATCATCATGGGGCGAGCTGGGGGTTCCCTAGGCAGATCTGGACCAAAGGCACTCAAGCCCTAAACCCTAAACCCTAAACCCTAAACCCTAAACCCTAAACCCTCGAAGGGGATTGCCTGGTCCATTAAGAGGGCCCCGCACCTTCTTTCAAGTAAAGGGTTCAGAAGCATGGGCTGTTGGGTTTGGTAGGCTACAAACGGGGTGTCTCCATGCAATGGCCCACGAGAAGGTAACCATCCTTAGATGCAAAAAAAATGCCCACGTGTCTGTTTTTGTTTGCTTCGCCCCACCGCTGACAAACAAAACTGAAAGATCCTGTGGAGAGCTTCCTTGACTTCCTGAGCATGTTTGAACCCTATCTTGGGAGGTTCCCCCTTATACTAACAGTTCTGAATGGGATTATACTCGGGGGTACTATAGGCGGGAACATCCCGACCCGAAACCCTAAAGGTTGCGTTTTCCTGCTACAGACGGGCCTGTTGTTTGTTTTGCGGGGCACTGATTGAGTCTCCTCTCTTTCCCCCTCTCCCTCTCTCTCTCTCTCTCTTTTTCTTTCGGCTTGCTTTGAAGCAGTGTCTAGGTAGGCCCTTGGGACATTTTCGAGAAACAGGATCATATTTCCGCATATTTTAGAGGGCCTTAAGAGCCTAGCAGTGTCAAAAAAGGCAAGAGGATCGATGTGTAAGTATTCCGGAGTATCACCAGCAGCTTGGCTCCTGCTAGTAAGTTTCAACATCTTGCCGCACATCTAAGGAAGGACTACCACAACTATCGCCTCATGCTGAACCTGCAGAATCGTCATTTTACGGGTTTGCCCATCAAGTGGCCCAGCTGCACCAGCGATGGAGTTGCGTTTTTGTGGGTTTCCGAAATTAGGGGTACCTTATGGGGGTCCTTTTTATAAGGGGAATCCTAGGTCTATATGAGGGGTCCCTTACTTGATGCAGGTAGCGGTTTGGGGTTTGGGGCTTAGGGGGGACCCCGTGTGAGTGCATCGGCGAATGAAGGCTAAAGCAAACAGTTTAAGGCACCGATATGATTGCTCAAGGGGTGCCTGGGTCCAAAAGCTCATGATTTTGCCATTGTAAGCCCAAGGCCGTAGACCACACTACTAAGACCCCGCACGCACGCACGCACGAACGTACGCGCACCCACCCACACACACAAACACTTTCGGTGTTAGTCGTCTGCCAACCAGTAATCGCGTCTTTGCTGGCTTGGGGGGAGGGGTAGGAGACAAAGAGAAAGAAGTGGAGCGCCGAAGTCGAGAAGTAGAGGAGGACGAGTGAAATGTTATTTGAAAATGTAGTACGATCAGATGTAAAGATGCACTCCTGCATGCTCAAGAACGACATGCACTTCTGCACTTCAAAGCACTGCAAGTCTGCCCTGTATGACCGTGCATGAGGATGCAGTGCGATCCTGTATGATCATGCGTGAGAATACACGCCTGCTCCACAAAGTTGCAATGCTGCCCCGCATGATCATGCACGTCAATCGCACCTCCACTTCATCCGGCCACCTGCTTTTCGCCGAATCATATCGCTCTGTGCTTCGCAAGTCCCTGACCATCACAAACTTCGGTCGCACAAGAATCTGCCCACAACGTTGCACATGACTATGCCGCACAGGTCACGAATCTTGCCGCGCTGCCTAAAATATGCTGGTTTCAAGGTATGTTCAAAGCACTCAAGGAAATGCAACACATGCTCTGCAAATGTCTAAATAGATACCATGTCCAAATCAAGCTACAGCGATGATGCACCATATGCAGCTTGCGTTGCAGGACAGCTGCAACCATCACCCGCGTGCCGGAACGTTTCACCACCAATTGAAAGTGTCAACGTTGGCAGAAGACTTGCAACGGTGCTCTTGCCCCCTGCTGAAGTGTTCATGATTGTCATGACGCAGGGACTGAAATTGGGTCATCTCGCATTCCATTTTCTCTTCCAGTTCTGATGCCGTTCTAGTGCGCGCATGCACAGCGGTGTTTCACACACACACACACACACACACACACACACACACGCACACGCACACGCACACACACACACACACACACACACACACACACACACACACACACACACACACACACACACGCACACAAACACAGACATACAGAGCGCGACCGACCGACCGACCGACCGCGCACGCCCACGCAAACACACCGGTGCGCCCACATGCGCTCCAACTCAGGGTACAGTACTTGTTAACCCAGTAGTGTACTTCTGACCCAAATATAACCACATTAGGGCACTTCAGGGGCTTCTAAGTGGGTTATACCTACAGTTCTTATTGGTTAATAAGTGCCCTGAAACTCCAAGTGGGTGGCTGTCAAAATCATCATCCCTCTTGGGGTACCGTAAATATTAGGTGCCGTATTAAAATAGGGATCCAAAAAGGGACCCTAATTTTGACAACCACCCAAGTGAGACCCCATAACCCGCAGACCAGGCCGCAAGACGACTTCATTCCGGGATTCAAGTCCCAGGCTGCCGATCCGGCAGCGTACCTGCTGGACCAGACGCTTAGCCTCAACATCTTACTTGGAGGTTCATGGCACTTATGAATAGCTGTACTTATAACCCTAAACCCTAAACCCTAAGGCCTAAACCCTAAACCGTAAACCCTAAACCCTAAACCTACTTACAAGATCCTTAGGTGCCCTAATATGGTTGTACTTGGGTTCGGGGCAACCGGGTTTCGAAGCTTCGTGGGCTCAAGGAGTCTCTGAAAGTTGCTACGAGGTCTGTTGGCTTCCTTGATGTCGAGGTTTAGGGTTTAGGGTTATAGCGTTTCGGCTTTAGGGACCCCTTATTTGTTCCTTGTACACGACATTCCCTCCCCCCCACTGCTAGCACCTAATGTCCCTTTTTTCGGGGGTGGGGGGGGGGGGGTTATGCTCCTTTCTAAACCCCTGTCATTGAACAAATTTGGGCATCCGTTTCTTTTGGGGGGGTGGGGGTTGGGCATTATCTTTCTCACCAGAGGCGGTATTGCGGTGTTCCGCAAGTAGGGTTTAGGGCTTAGGGTTTAGGGTTTAGGGTTTAGGGTTCAAGTAAGATAAGGTTTGGGAATCGCTTTCGGATGTTCTTGCCTTTCTACGTTCCCATTGCCCTCATGCGCAAGCCCGAAGTTTAGGTTTAGGGTTTAGGGTTTAGGGTTTAGGGTTTAGGGTTTAGGGTTTAGGGTTTAGGGTTTAGGGTTTAGGGTTTAGGGTTTAGGGTTATCGAGTCCCATGAACCTTGCCTGCCCTGTGCGAGAGTGCGCGGGTCGGAATCGGATACCGAGAGGAGAAATGGCGGCGCGCATCCTGCGCACCCTAAACCCTAAACCCTAAACCCTAAACCCTAAACCCTAAACCCTAAACCCTAAACCCTAAACCCTAAACCCTAAACCCTAAACCCTAAACCCTAAACTCCTGCCAGGTTCATGTACCAGAATGCCTTCACCAGCCACCTGGAGCGTGGCTTGCCTGACTCCCTCGGTAGCAGATTCCGCAGAATGACTTCACGTCTGACCGCAGGTTTAGGGTTTAGGGTTTAGGGATTGAGCAGTGAAGGGCTGCCAGCGAAAAACTAACTTCGGCCCCCTGGCAGGGGGAGGTTTGAACATATTTTTTGGCTTTTGTTGCCCTGAATCCCCTCTACCTAATCCTTATAAAGCCACGTTTAGGGTTTAGGGTTTAGGGTTTAATTTTTCTAGGGCCCCCAAACCTACCCCCATCTGGGCCATCTGGCTCAAAGGTGCTACAACCCGTGCTTGCAGCAACTTAGTGTAGAAGGGCCTTCAGACCTCCGGTGCCCGCGTGATGGAAGCCTGCAAAACACCGACCTCCTCGGCCGCCTGCGAGGCTTGGTGCCCTTTGCCCCCCACTTTTTCGGTTCAAGGCTCCCTTACAAAAGTAACGAACCGCACAAAAAAAGGGGCGTATCATTATTATTTTCATGATTATTATTTTTATTATCATTGTTATTACTATTATTATTATTGCTATTATTATTATTGTATTTTTAGTATTATTATATTAGGACTACTTGAACAACATGGTTCCTGGGCAACCCAGGATGACACCGAAAAATGCAGCCAGAGTTCAAGCGACTCCTTTGCGAAGGCGCAGCAGCCAAAGAGAGCGCGCATGCAGGAAGCTCTTGAGTGTACTTCGGGGGTTCTTGCTTAGGGTTTAGGGTTTAGGGTTTAGGCTTTAGAGTTTAGGGTTTAGGGTTTCGGGTTTCGGGTTTCGGGTTTAGGGCGGCGTGGAGTTAGAGGGCCCTAGAAGCCCTTTCCCTTGCCCAGCCCGGTGTTCAGGTGGAAAGTGGCAAGTTGGAGTTTGCCTTCGGCGACCCCAGAAACTGCGGCATCACCCTGCACTACTTTACCCAGGGCTTCGTAACTTGCCCTAAAAGGGGACCTCGGGGGACATTTAAGGGAAAATTTAGGGGTTACTTAGGTATATGGGGACGATATAATGAAAAAAGTAGGGATATATATATATATATATATAGGGATTATATAGGGGAACATGATTAATTAAGGGTCGTGCCTGAAGGCTCCAATGTAGTTTCTGTTGGGTTAGTTTTTGGTAGGACACCACCCCAAAAAGGTACCGCATAGGAGCCTCTAGGTAATGTGCTTCAGCGGCAAGGCTTAAATCCTTTTCGTTGGGCATCTGTTGGGGTTTCCGACATTAGGGGTACCTTGTCCTTGTTCTAAAGGGATCTTACTATTTGAGGGTCTATATTGGGGGGGGGGGGGGGAGGACCTCATTTTCGTAAACCCCAAACCCCAATACAAGAATGAGCGCTGAATGATCACTGTTCCTGCTTGGTATAGCCTACTTAGGGGACTTGGGGGGCTTATAAGTGCAGCAATACTTGGGGTCATATGTACCCATGAACCTCCAAGCGGAGCTAATTGAAACCCCAAACCCTAAACCCTAAACCCTACACCCTAAACCCTAAACCCTAAACCCTAAACCCTAAACCCTAAACCCAAAAGGTAGTCGGGGGAATCGATTCCATCCTTGTGAACGTGTTGGCGGGCTACCTCAACGTACCCAGCAACATCCAGCAAGGTGCGGCGACTTGGTAGCCCGGTAGGGTACGGTGTTCGGGATTAGGGTTTCGGGTTTGGGGTTTAGGGTTGAGGGTTTAGGGCCTAAAGTTTAGGGTTTAGGGCTAGTAGTATCCCTTTTTCCCTTTTTGTTGGCTCCCTTAAAAGTAACCAACCTCCAAAAAGGGTGCACCCTAAGCCCTAAGCCCTAAGCCCTAAACCCTAAACCCTAAACCCTAAACCCTGATTGTAAGATGGCTGTGGGGCTGCCAAGGTGAACATGGCCAACCTCCCCTGCGCCTTCGCAGTGTTCCTCGGAGGAAGCCCCTTAGGGTTTACAACCAAGGTTTAGGGTTTAGGGTTTAGGGTTTAGGGTTTAGGGTTTAGGGTTTAGGGTTTAGGGTTTGGGGTCCATTGAACAAGAAAAAGAAAGAGAATCCCAGGCTACTGGGCATCCTCAGCGATGCAAGGCCAATATTTGGCTACCGGCGTCGGCCTTATATGGCTGGAGGTTGGTTGCTCCTTGCTGGCCCGGTGGTGCCCTTTCCCTCTTCTTTTTTGGTGGTTCAAGGTTCCCGTCAAGAGTAGCCAACCCCAAAAAGGGTACCCTTATTCTTATATGCAAGGCGGGAACTCAGCCCCCGCGTTTTTGGGGTTTTACTGCAGCGACTTCCCGCCTTCATAAAAGAAAAAACACTCTAAAAAATCTTCAAATCCCATATTTCGTGCCGAGACGTGCTATTTGTGCATAAGAGATTAGTACCAAACTATATTTTTTGCGGGTATGCACACGTTAATAACATTGTTTTACGGGTGAGTGAAACGCACGCCGTGGTGCATTCATTAGGTTTTTTCGTTCATGTGTTCACACCCCTAATAATACTAGTACTTTGAAAGGGCCGCATGAATATTGCTATTATGTGGCCCCTTAACAAATAATACTATTACAGGGATAAAGACTTTCCTTAGACTTTCTCCTCCATTCAGTTCACCCACGACATGAAGATATGAATCATACATCCGTGACTGACATGAACGGGAAAAAGTACAGCACTTATTTCGATGGACAAAAGACATCTTTACCCTGTCATGTCTTTAAGAATGGCATTATTAACCCAATCCTGCAGAATCAATTTAATATAACATTTGCGTAAAAGCCCTTAATCTGTTTTTCTATTTCGGGGGGGGGTAGTTACTGAAGCTCTATTATTTGTATCCTTGTTTTGGACATCGTTTCATTCATTATCTTGTCCTACTTTAGGGATGTGCCTGGAGAAGCTGTGTGAATTAACTTATGCGAATACACTTATTTTATGTAATGCTGCTATAACTTTAGGAAGTGCTTTCGTTAATTTAGAATTTTCCTCACAACATGCTATTTTCTTCACTTTGCGGTCCTTCTATTTATCTTCTCTTTTATTAGTTTGTACAGTAGATTAAAGAATTTCGTATTACATTAATGATTCACTGTTTAGGTGTCTTCTCTGTTTTCTTACAGCATTACAGTTCTTTCATCTAATTCTTGGTATTTGCTTGTTTGTATTATCTAGCTTTTCTTGCATTCACGTGCGCATGCTTTATCAAACGTGAGAGACGACAAAACTCTAATCCTAGTAAGCAAGGCTCATAGAAATTAATAAACAAACATCCATACCCAAAAACAATACAAAACAACAAAAGCCTAAACATACTAATTTTGCAGGACTCGTGGGAAACTGGGACACCGAAACCAAAAAAATCAGACCAAAAAAACCAAACCCCCAAAACCAAAAAAGCAATACCCAAAAAACCAAAAACACCAAAAAAGCAATTTTCCGGGACTTTTGATGCGTAAGCTTATTTCCACACAGCTTTCACAGAGTCTCGGATTTTTTTTGTTTTTTTTTTGTTTTTTTGGTTTTTGGTATTGGTTTTTTATGGTTTTTGTGGAAATTGGTTTTCTGAGCTTTTTGTGTTTAGTTGTTTCGCTTGTCGGTGTTCCTGTTCTCCCAAGAGTCCTGCAAAATTCACATATTTGGGGTTTTGCCTATTCTTTGCAATTCTGGGCCGATTAATAAAACCCCAAAAACGCAGGGGCTGAGAAACCGCTTTGAACCTCTTACATATATGGCAACCCTTAACCCTAAACCCGAAACCCTAAACCCTAAACCCTAACCCCTAAACCCTAAACCCTAAACCCTAAACCCTAAACCCTAACCCCTAAACCCTAAACCCTAAACCCTAAACCCTAAACCCTAAACCCTAAACCCTAAACCCTAGACCCTAAACCCTAAACCCTAAACCCAAACCCTAAACCCGAAACCCCAGGCTCTCAGCTGCTTGCTTCGCCTACATGGTGTGGCTTGGCTTGCCGGCGCCCTACTACTGCTTCGCGGAGGGCCAGTACTTGCGGAACCAGATACTTGGAAACCGAACCAGGGTTTAGGGTTTAGGGTTTAGGGTTTAGGGTCTAGGGTTTAGGGTTTAGGGTTTTATGATGACTTGAGGGACCAGATCCTTGCAAGCCGAACCCTACTTGGAGGTTCGTGGTACTGAAAAAACCAACTATATGCTGTACTGGGTTTAGAGTTCAGGGTTTGGGGTTTAGGAGAAGTGTACTTTTTACCCACCTGATATGCCCTAATATGGTTCTGATTGGGTTACCAGTACAGTTATTATTGGGTTAATAAGCACCATGAACCTCCAAGTAAAAAGGTCTTATGTTGGGATGTTTATCCCTTTTACTAGCAGTCCTCAGGTTTATGTTCCCCTTCTACTAACAGTCCTTAGGTTTAGAGCTTAGGCTTTGGGGTTTAAGGTGTATGTTGGGATGTTCCCAATTATACTAACAGTCTATCAGTCCTGAATTGGGATCATAGTGGGGCCCTTTTAAGGACTGTTAGTTTCAGGGGAACATCCTATATTACTTAGTATAGGAATTTGAGTAGCACAGGGTACCCCGAATTGGAGAAGTGCACGCGGTCCCCCGCCTCCCCCAATTAAAGGACGCCCTGCAATCCTGATGCCGCCGATTTCTACGTGTGGCCCATCGTTTGCCTGTGCCTTTCACAACTTGGCATGACCGCCGCCACGGCGTCGGCGCAAGGGTTCCTGAGCATGAGGGTGGTTTAGGGTTTAGGGTTGAGGGTTAGGGTTTAGGGTTTAGGGTTTAGGGTTTAGGGTTTAGGGTTTAGGTTTTAGGTTTTAGGTTTTAGGTTTTAGGTTTTAGGGGTTGAGGTAGGTTGAGGTTGAGGTTGAGGTTGAGGTTGAGGTTGAGGTTGAGGTTGAGGTTGAGGGGGTGTTTCCATGTGGGGTTTCAGAGTTTCAATCTTCCAGGAGTCGTGGGTTCATCTGGGATTTCAGGGGAAGCATACATGCCCTAAACGCTGAAGCTTAGACCCAATCCCTAAACTTTGCGCGTGCTTCGTCCTCGCCGGTTCTGAGATGAGCTGAGGCTCTTGGTGGAGTACGCAAAGGCAGAGCCGGAGAAAACACGCGGGCGCACACAGGCTTTGCTGCAGATGGTCGGGACTGCTGGAAGTTTCTGTGCTGTGGTGCTGGTAGCGTTCGGCTTCAATGGCCAGATGTTCACAGGCAGCTTCAGTCAGAGACACCAGCTGCAGTGGCTTAATTTAGTGTCTGACCGGTTGAAGTCCTACCGTCCTATTCTGGTCAATGAAGGCGGACATACCATCACTTAAGACAGTCAACCATGTCACCCCCTAGAGACGCAGGCTGAGCTACCCAGAGTTCCTGGCCATCTTTGCCGTGCTCCAGTGCATTGCTGGCCTTTCGTGCATCTTCTGCGTTCGTGAGCATTCCGGCGCACGAGCCTCCGTTCGGGAGTACGCCCGATCTTCCTTCCATCTCTTGGAAAACAAGGCCCAGTTTGCCTAGAGGGGCTTAGACTTAGTAGTAGAGTAGATAACCTTTAACCTTTTTGGGTTAATATATTCCCCTTAATTCTCCCAAAGGTTAACCTTTAAAACCCCTAGGTACTGGACAACTAAGTAGAGGACAGGTCATGAAGGGATTCTTATGATTCTTATGATTCTTACTATGATTCTTATTATGATTCTTATTATGTATGATTCTTACGGCTATTTTTATGGCTATTCTTATGATGAAGGGCTATGGGGGTCTTGGGAGCCGTTGTTTCGCAACAGAATGGAAGGCCTTCTCTGCCGTGGCCCTCTACTTCTTTGCCAACAGCAGCCTCTTGGGGTAACATTTTACATTCTTAAAGGGTACTTAAGAACTCAATAAGGAATAACATGGGTACTTATACTCCACAAGGAATAGCATTTCAAATTTTTAAAATTTTTATTACTCTCCCCAACTCTGAACCAGGTCTCTTCAACATCGCCACGAGTGCCGGCTTGTGGGTGAGCTTAGAATGGGCCAAGGTCGAGAACATGCAGCGGCAGCTAAGTCTCTTGGTGGGCCCCTTTAGGGGATGTTTTTTAGGAGTTTTCTCCTAAACCCTAAACCCTAAACCCTGATTTTCAGAGGGTTTTGAGGGCCATCCTAGGCAGCTTGTTCGGTATGCTGCTCACCCTCCTCGGCTGCTGGCTCACCCAGCGGTGCCTCTTGGGAGTCAGCTGGCGGAAGATTCTCTTCGGCGCGTGCATCTTCACCAATGTCCTCGACATGTTCCCGCAGTTCATGACCATCTTCGACATCGTCCGGGATCAGTACTTCTATCTTGGGGAGCCTCTCACACGGAACGTGCCGATAGCCATGTCCAACCTCGTCACCCAGTTTTTGGTCAATGAGCTTGCGGACGAGAAGAACTGCGCGCTCGTGGTGGGCCTCCTGAGTCTTGCCTGCCGGTGGTGCCCATCGGGGCTTTAGGAGGTTAGGGTTTAGGGCTTGGGGTTTAGGGTTTAGGGTTTAGGGTCAACCCAATCAAGCACGAACAGGCTACTCTTTGAGGTTACTGGGGTGCTTAGGACCACGATTGGAGCCGTGGGCCAACCCTTGTCGGTGCTGCTGTCGAACCAGATCCTTAGTGTCTGACTGAGTACACTTTGCACACTTTTTGGGACACTCTACTTCCCTAAAGAAACTGAAAGTGTACACCTTTTTTTGAGCTTCTGAGCTCAGCGACTAAGGCTCTTCTCGTTGTTTACCCCCGACCTCTTCTTGAGGGAGATCCCCGGGCGCACGTGCAGCTTTTTCATGCCATATTACTATATTACTATATGCTATATTACTATTACTTACTATATTACTATATTACTATATTACTATTACTATATTACTATATTACTATATTACTATATCACTATATCACTATATCACTATATCACTATATTACTATATTACTATATTACTATATTACTATTACTATATTAATATATATTTATTACTACTACTTTACTACATTAATACACTACACCTACTACTTTTAACTGGGATATTACTACTTCCTCCACTACTAAGACTGCTTACTACTATATTACTACATTACTATATTACTATATTACTATATACTTACTATATTACTATCTTACTATATTTATATTACTATATATTTATATTACTATACTATATTACTATATTACTATATTACTATATTACTATTATATACTACTATATTACTATATTACTATATTACTATATTACTATATTACTATATTACTATATTACTATATTACTATATTACTATATTACTATAGTACTATATTACTATATTACTATATTACTATATTACTATATTACTATATTACTATATTACTATATTACTATATTACTATATTACTATATTACTATATTACTGTACTTCGATATTAAAACCGTGTCCTCGTACATACGCATATACATGCCAGACCAAGCAGCTCAGGAACTATGTGAAGGACACGCCGGCATTCCGATGGACGGTGGCTTCGTCTTTCCTGCTGAGCTACTCCGTCTCTTTCCTTGGCATGGCGATGCTCCCGCTGCTTCCATCGCAGAAGCTGGGGCCGCGAAAGCTTTCACTGTAAGCTTGGTCTAGGTATATTCAGTGAAATCTGACCAGAAGTAACAAGCTTGTTGCCACCTGTCTAATTTCAGGGTGCTAGGTGGCGGGGGTTCCAAAAAGTAGGGAAGGGGTACCAATTCCGGAAGGCACCGGTACCCAGAATTGGACGTTTAAGTCTGTTTCAGGGTAGATTTAGGAGTGCCCTCCCAGCGCGGCTTAGGAAGCATTCCAGGGCAGATATAGAAGTGCCCAAACCCCAAACCCCAAACCCTAAACCCTAAACCAGCTAAGCGGGTGGCAAAGAAAACCCTAAACCCTAAACCCTAAACCCTAAACCCTAAACCCTAAACCCTAAACCCCAGCGCAGCTCAGGAAGCATGAGGCCCACCGACGTAAGCAAGAGTGGCCAGCAAAGCCCCTCTTCGCCATCCTTTCCGGCGCCATTCTGGGAGTTGCTCTCCTCTACACGTTGCCTGGCAGGTTTAGGGTTTGGGGTTTGGGGTTTAGGGTTTTGGGTTTAGGGTTTAAGGGAAGCTCTTAGCCCAGTGTGGAACCTGAGTTGGCGTCTCTAAGCCCGGAACCCAAAGCTCAAGACCCTACTTGGAAGCCCTTGCGACTTGGTAACTAGGTCTTGGAGTACTATACTTTAATACTTTTTGCTGGTTCTGGTTTCCTATTATAGCTACTTATACCTGAAAAGTATATATTTTTTCAGGGTCTACTCCAAAGCTAAGGTAAGTGGGTTAGTAAGGTGGAGTATGGGGATTCTCATCGGGGATACTCAGTAGATGTACTATAAAACAGAGTCAGCCCGTGAACCTTGGCTGCGACATGCTTGAAAAGACCCTGCGTTGCCAGTAGGGTTTAGGTGCTGGGTTTTTTTTGGTCTAGGTTTTGGGGTTTAGGGTTTTGGGGTTTAGGGTTTTGGGGGTTTGGGTCTTGGGATCAAGTTAACTTGCAAGCCCTTTAGACTTAGTAAGTCTACCTCGCAACGCCCTAGAAACCCTTTAAGAATCCCCCGAACCCCAATTCTCACAAATGGTGGCAGAGGGGTTTTATCCTTAAACCCTAAACCCTAAACCCTAAACCCGAAACCCTAAACCCTAAACCCTAAACCCGAAGTAGGGGTTCGCAGCTGGAGACCCAGGTTGGCGGGGGACATCCTCGTGCTGAATCCGGCCCTGACATGCCTGGCTTTTCTCGGAGGAGATGGCTGCTAACTAGGTAGGCCCTTGGGACATTCTCACATTTTCCCACTATTGGGTTGAAGAGGACCATATTCAGGAGTACACCCTAAACCCTAAACCCTAAACCCTAAACCCTAAACCCTAAACCCTAAACCCTAAACCCGCCCTAAACCCTAAACCCTACGAGGGCCATCTTAGCGAAGCATCCGTCCGAGTTGCGCCCGCGTGGATTGCATTGGCATGTAGGGCCGGGCGGTTTTGCTTCCATGGCTGGATAGGGTTGAGGGTTTAGGGTTTAGAGTTTAGGGGTTAGGGTTTGGGGTTTGGGGTTTGGGGTTCAGGGTTCAGGAGATGGAGGCTCGATCTTACCCTAAAGCCCTGCAGGGCGTGGCACCAGTGGGAGTTTTTCTTGATGGCAAGGGCACTTAAACAACCCTTTGCCTCGAGTGCTACAAGGGGCTTTGGCCTCAGCACCTTGTAAAGAACCCCGAAGCCCTGGACAAGGCTGCTCTTCTACTAGTCTATGAAAACATTGGTCTATTCTTTGCATTCATGTTTTCTAGTAGTCCATGAAAATACTGGTCTATTCTTAAGTATTTATTTTTTTAGGTTGTTATTGGCCTGCGCGCTTTCCGCCGCCGAGGGGGGTCTGTCGATTTCTGAAAATGGGGCTGGGTGGGGGGAGGGGTGGTCGCGTGTCCAGCATGCGAGAACCATGGTACTTACAGGATTTTCTGCACCTCCTGACAGGTGTTGCTTCTTGCCTTCTGTGACGACCGTGCCTGGAATGTGTCCGTTTACCTGGCTTTTGCGAGAATCACGGTATTTGCAGTGTTTTTGTTGGTTTTCACAAGGCCCCTTTTCTTCCACTCGGTCCGTTTCGGTCCGTTGCCCTTTTCTTGCTGCTCCGTCTCAGCGGGACCTGGAAGGCATGCTGCTTTCGGAAAATGCGGGGGGGGGGGGGGGTGCTTACGTGCGGAGCAGACGAATCCCATGGCCTTTACAGTGTTTAAGCCGCTTCATCGTCGAATGCCCAGAGCTTGCCTGCCAGGTCCTAAACAACTTCTGCCCTGCTCACTGCGGCGGTTTTCCTAAACCCTAAACCCGAAACCCTAAACCCTAAACCCTAAACCCTAAACCCTAAACCCTAAACCTTAAACCCATGGTGAAGCCACCCTTCGGGGGGGGTACCACCACAGCAACCCGGAACATCGGGCTTGGGGGGGCCTGTGCTTGGCTCTTTATAGCCTGCTTGCGTGGCTTCTGCACGCATGATTGCGGGCACCTTACATGTCCTACAACACGTGACGCCACTGAAGCCCTTTCCTTGGGGACCAAATGAATCCCAAAAAAGGTTCATGGGTTCATCTACCTTGCTAGGGATGATCGCAGTATAGAGCATATGACCCCAATTTTAGGGTTCATGTGGTCCCTAAGGATAAAGCCTTCTCGAGTGTCGGAGGTTGTTGGCTTGGCTGGCCCCAGATTAGGGGCACCAGGCCGTCGTTTAGTTTGAATCACTCCGCCTGCTGGGGGAGGCCTGTTTCCTAGCATAGTGTCCGCAGGACTCAGGACAGGCCATTGCCCCACGGTTGCATGGGTTATCTCCAACATGAGCTTGGACGTATCTGCTCCACCCCGCGAGCTGTGTACAAAATATCAGGAAGTAGCTCGCGCCCACAAGTGGCTGGTTTTGCTGCGCACGTCAACATCACAGGAAAAAACCCGGCGGAAAGCCATGGGGTGGTGCCGATGGTGAGGCTATGCGGCTGAAGGGTGTCGGTTGCGAGGCGTGGGAGTTCATGTCGCAGTGCCATATATATATATATATATATATAGCACTAAACCCTAAACCCTAAACCCTAAACCCTAAACCCTAAACCCTAAACCCTAAACTATGCGGGCAGTTCAAAGGCAACGGAGAGCCTTTAAAAGCCATGGTGGGGCCGGGCCTCTTCGGGAAACTCAGTCAGAAGGAACGTCAAACAGCAGCCGTTCCGTCTCTACTATTTTCTGACGAGCACCAAAGAACATAGTATAGAATACGAATCCCGATATTCCCTATGAGGAAGAATGAGTATGTGTTGGTGGGTTCTTAAGCAAAAGTAGTTATTCATCGGGGCGGAAAGCGACCGCTGGGACCTCGGCGAAATCACACCTTGGCCTGTGTGTCTCATCGAGGGATAGGAACTTAGCAGCTTAGCACTGGCAGTCAAGGTCATGACTTAGTAGTAGAGTAGATAACCTTTAACCTTTTTGGGTTAACACATCCGGCGCTCGGCCTTAGTCTCATCCCAGGCCCTCCGCATGCGCACGATACAGGCGCTAGGATGAAGGAGTTTAGGCCTAAACCCTAAACCCCAAACCCCAAACCCTAAACCCTAAACCCTAAACCCTAAACCCCAAGCCCTAAACCCTAAACCCTAAACCCTCCTCTTAAGCCAAGCGGGGGGCAGACGGTCTCTGAGGCTGCACGAATGGTTGGACGCCCCTTTGCTATGCGGCCCTCGGTGGAGATCCGCTCCTGGTGTCTTCCCTCTTGCAGGAGAAGGCCGGGAGGGCTGAGGGCTTAGGGCTTAGGGTTTAGGGTTTAGGGTTTAGGGTTTGGGGTTCAGAGTGGTTTTTATGGGCCCTCAATGTTAGCGCTACGCGACCCGCCTCGGCCCGGCCCAGCGCATCCTTAAAGTTGAGGGTTTAGTTTAGATTGAGGGCTTAGGGCTCAAGGTTTATGGTTTGGGGTTTAGGGTTTTTTGGGTTTAGAGTTCAAGGTTCAAGGTTCAGGGCTTAAACAGTTCGGCTTGGACAGGATTCGTAACCTAATGCTCACAGTTGAGGCGCGGGCTCCTCAAGCAAAAGGCAAGGGGTCCTACGGGGGGGCAAAAAAGGGTGGCTTTGGGCTTGGGGGGAGGCTTTGGAGGATGTTCTCACAACCTATACACCTTCGGCCCGAGGCCTCGGCGGATATGGTCCCTTGCCTTGTTGTTAAAGGTTTTCTGAAGTATGGGCCCTTGGGTTGTATAGAGTATATGACCGATACATAAGGGGTCCCCTTTGAAGTGCCCGTACTATGGGAACATGTAACTGCCTTAACAGACTCTGCACGGCAGAGGGTTTAGGGCTTAGGGGTTTTGATGGTGGGTCTAGGAGAAAGGGTTTAACCTTAACTTCGAAACACCCGACAGGGCCCTGAGGGATCTCGGGGCTGTCTCGCGGGGTGAGGCTTCAGCGAGAGGACCCTCAACCTAACCCCTGAACCCTAAACCCTAAACCCTGAACCCTGAACCCTCAACCCTGAACCCTAAACCCGATAAGTCTTGGCTGGATTAGGCCATTCAGAGGCCTAATCCCAAAACGGTTTAGGGTCCAGGGCTAGAACCTTCGCAATGTCGTGTTTGGTGCCAAAAGGGTTTAGGAGGAGTCTGAAGAGTCTGAGGAGTTTGGGGTTCAGGGTTGAGGGTTTAGGGTTGAGGCACAAACCTGCCACACGCCCAGCTCACGTTCCCTACTGGCAGCTGAGCACTCAACCATCCAACGCTTGGGCTTTGGGACTTCAGCGCTTCAAGTCACTGACAGGATCGGTTCATAGGGTTTGGGGTTCAGATGGCGTCTGGCAGTCGCCAAGTCCAGCTTCAAAAAGGATTGTCCGTAGAGAGGGTCCTCTAAACTGGACCCCTAAGCCCTAAAACCCTAAACCCTACACTGCAGTTTCAGTAACCGAAATTGATGTCATTGACGCCCTGTGGCGGTGTATTATGGCTGAACAGGCTTTCTCCAGATATGTCGTACCCCGCAGAGGTGTCGCTAGTCGGGTGGAACAAACCGCAGCTAGTCATGTCTTTGTGTAGGTCGGTGGTCTGGTCGAGGGTGCTCTCGTCTCATCTAATTTCTGAAGCAGTGTCTTTTGGGGTCCGAGAAATAGGAGAAGGATGATCGTATTTCAAGTTCCCTAAGCCCTAAACCCAAAGAAACCTTAACCCAAACCACAAACCGGGACGGTAATTCGCTCTGACATACCACGCGTGGCTCTATCTCAGATTACTAGTGCTTCGCTCCCTAAGCAAGTGTTGGGTTTCCAGCTCAGGGTTCTAAACTAGGGTTTAGGGGTTTAGGGTTTAGGGTTTACAGAACGCACCCGCGGGGCAAGAAAAGAATAGAGGGGTGACAGGCGGACCCCAGTGACGCCATCACGGAGCAAGAGCCGCTCTGCCAATTCGCGGCGCAGACCTCTGCGCTCCACATGCCACCTGGCGATTCGAGATGCAGGAGTTCTAGGGCTTTAGGGTTTGGGGTTTTGGGTTTTGGGTGCAGGAGCTATAGGGCTTTAGGGTTTGGGGTTTAGGGTTTAGGGCTTGAATGGGGCTTAAAGAGTAGCTTGTCGTTCTTGCCGCGCTGCGCGCGTGGAGGGTTGGCAGAGTTCATTTGGCCCAAGATTTGCCACCAAGTGCTTTCCCACGCAGGCTTGACGTTTCGAAAGAGAGAAAGAGAGAGCGAGAAAGTCGGCTCCAAATCTGACTAATCACGAGGTCGAATAGGATGACTTGCAAGTTGGAGCCCGCCCGTCCATGTTCCTGCAATGGAGAAGTCCGGGGCGTAGCGTATCACAGTGCGTGCTGCCATGATGTGCCGAAGGAGGTTCAGGACAACCTACATTTTTGCGTGTTTAGGGCCCTACGAATGCCCAGACCCTGCAACCTTGAGACACAAGTTTGAGTGTTGGTGTAAGCTGGTCTAGGGTTTAGGGTTGAGGGTTTCGGGTTTAGGGTTGAGGGGGTTTAGGGTTTAGGGCGTGGGGTTGCAACAAGGCTTGAAACTCGGCCTAATCCCTGCTATTCTATAGTTTTCATCAAGAAAAACCTTGGCCGAATTGGGCCCCAACCCCCCTAACCCTAAACCCTCAACCTAGGAAGAGCGCGAGAGTCCAGGAAAAGCCTGGAAAAACAATAAACCTTGCAGACCCCCCAGAAACCCACAAACCCGAAACCCTTTTTGCTGTCAAATCTCAACCCTAAACCGACAAGCAAAGCAGGAGCATCTTGGAGCCCAGGTTTAGGGCTTAGGGTTTAGGGTTTAGGGTTTAGGGTTTAGGGCTTCGGGTTTAGGGTTTAGGGTTTAGGGTTAACGGGGTTTACAGGGTTTATAGGGTTTATAGGGTTTATAGGGTTCATAGGGTTCATAGGGTAGGGTTTATAGGGCTTTTGGGGTTCAGGTGGCAAGAACAGCAACCTTAAACCCTAAACCCTAAACCCTAAACCCTAAACCCAGGTGCGCCTTCCTGAAGCGCAATGAGTCTCTCAGGCGCGGTTTCAGGGTCTCCGTTCGAGGGCCCAAAAGACCCCCCTACTTGAAGGTTCATGAGACACCCTAAACCCTAAACCCTAAACCCTAAACCCTAAACCCTAAACTCTAAACCCTAAACCTAAACCCTAAATAAAACTGTACTTGTAACTCACTTCTAAGCCCCTGAAGTGCCCTGCCCGAATAAGGATATCATTGGGTTTGACGTACAGATAGACTTGGGTTAATAAGTACCCTGAACCTCCAAGTAGAATAAACCCTAAACCCTAAACCAACCCTAAACCCTAAACCCTAAACCCTAAACCCTAAACCCTAAACCCTAAACCCTAAACCCTGAACCTCCAAGTAGAATTACCCTGAACCTCCAAGTAGAATTAAACAGTCTATTCCTTGATCCCGAATCCTCGTGCGACTGCTAGGCTGCTGCTCGACTCGAAAGCGGATATGCTTCTTGACTCTGCTTCATAAAGGGGATCATGTCCCGACACTGAGCACTCGAACACCATCAGAAACCTTTATGAAGCATACCCTCCCCCCCAGGTCCCTAGGTCAGTGTATATATATATATACACACACACCCTAAAGCCTGAACCCTAAACCCTAGGTTAATATACTAAAATGTGTATATACATTTTCGTATATGTTTGCAATCCAAAGACTCCTAAACCCCTAAACCCTAAACCCTAAACCCTAACCCCTAACCCCTAAACCCTAAACCCTAAACCCGAAACCCGAAACCCGAAACCTTAAACCCAAACCCTAAACCCTAAACCCTAAACCCACACAAAACCTGGGGGCCGGGTTTGGGGCGGCCTCGTGGAGGGATCGCTCCCCGGAAACATCGCAGCAAGTCTTAAGAGCCGGCGATGTGCCTTAAGAACCCCAAACCTACTCTTGTGTCGGCTCTGGTTGTAACACCCCTTATAGGATTCTCAGGTCAGATTCAAGAAAGTAGGTTTAAGGTTCTTGAGGTGAGCCACGACAAGGAGATAGAAACTGCCGCTGAACGCCGCACAGCACATGGTCCTACATCGCCGATAGGTGCAAACACACAAAGTAGAAGCACAGGCTCCATGGAATAGTGAAGCAGTCCGGCCGTGTCAAGTTTAGGGTTTCGGGCTAAGGGCTTTGGGTTGAGGGTTTAGGGTTTAGAGTTTAGGGTTTTTTTGGTTAGGGTTAGTAGATTTAGTAGATGACTTCTCAGCCAAAACCGTCAACCCCAAACCCAGTCCAAGTCGATTCAGGAACCACGTGGATGGCTATGGCGCGAACGCACTGCACTGGGCAGCCGTGGCCAACAATGCCGAAGGTCCGGCGGCTTAGGTTCCTAGGG